AGACTAACAGCTCAGAGCAAATTCTATTTCGAGAATATTTATCCTGCAGCAAGTGGAGCCAAAGAAAATATATTAGTCTGATACCAAAGTGAGAGGCGAGTAGGAAGCATCAGTATCCTCCCTCTCTTTCTGTTTCCAGTCATCATTATTACGCTCATCATTGTCACTATCCCTTAAATAAACCTCTTCATCTTCAAGTTTCATCATCATCATACACTTCAACATTCTTACAATCATCCGCATGCTGCACCATTTCCCTTATTGTTATCATGATGATTGTAACAATGATGATCATCATCAGTATTATCATGATCATCATCATTAGCGTCATCAAAGGCAGCTGTATCATTCTACTCTTCCTCTAACAATCTAAGAAAAACATTTTTTCAGTTCAAAGGTTCTTGCATTTGATAAAATAGTAATTATTGCAGGGTTCGTCATGTCATAACTTAGAAGGACTGGTCTAGAACTTTTAGAAAGGGTTCCTCTATTGAGAAAGATGAATTAAAATAGGGAAAATAATAATAACTATTATAAGACTGGTTTGACTGTACCTGGAAGGGTCGAATGCTGGAGAGGTAAAGTAACTTCCTGTGCCATAGGTTTCCTTGTTCTCCATAGCGTGCCCAAAGCAGCAGGCCCCGCCCACTGGCCACAGTCCTCAGGTACACGGCCAGGCTGAAGATATGCTCGCCGAACATGTGGTAGTTGAAGCGGAAGGTGCAGGGGCGGTTGCCATGGCCATGGCTGGCTGTTGGCTGAAAGCTGCGGCTCACCAGCAGGGCAGTGTCCCTGAACTGCTGCGGGACCGAGGCCTCGATGAACAGGTAGTGCCCGTTAACATTGCCTAGGGTGTGGTCCTTCCAAGGGCCTGTGTTCATCGTCGGGGTGGGGCCCTGGATCCTGGTCCAGTCAAAGTTGTCATCCTCTTTGTCTTGTGTCCAGTTGCAGAGGCCTTCCTCAAAGTTGCAACCAAGCTCTGGGGCTGCAAAAACAAAGATCAGAGCCAAAATGGTGCGGTCACACTTAAGATGAAGTGTTGATCATAAAGGCTTTATACAGCATGTATAATGCCTTCATAAATGAGACATAAAGTCTTCATAAATCATAGATAAGCAAATGTCATGCTTTGTAAAGGGTGAAATAACACATACTTTTCAGCATGTGATGCCAGGGGTGACAATGAGAATGTCACTTAGCTGACAATGTCACCCTTTATAGCATTTAGCCACTAGCTAAGTGACATTGTCAGTTATGTCACATCTGGCATCACATGCTGAATAAGGATGTGTTATTTCACACTTTACAAAGCATGACATTTGCTTATGCATGATTTATGAAGACATTATGTCTCATTAATGAAGGTATTATACATGCTGTATGAAGCCTTTATGAGCAACTCTTCATCTGAAGAGTGACCAATGGTGCCGAAATCAAAAATTGATTCCCCAGCGCAAACAATGCAGAACATAGCCCCAAAACTCACAGCAGCCTTCCTCGTCCGATCCATCGCCGCAGTCATCCACCAGGTCACAGAGAAGCTGCCGGTCAATGCAGGCCCGGCTTCTCTTGCAGTGGAAGTGGTCATGGCCGTGGCAGACCTCCACTGATGGGGGCAGGGAGCAGTTGTGGAAGGTTATGTCATCTAGGGCAGAGACACCGTCAAAGACGCCGAGGCTGAGCTTGACCAGGGAGAATTGGAACGGGCGTGTTATGCGGCCCAGCTGTACCGTAACGGGATGCCAGCGGCTGCCCTGGTTGTATAATGTGCGCCACACCACTGTGATGTTCTCTGTGCCGTCTATATGAAGATACATGTCTGCCGCACCCACAGACATCCCATAGTTATAATGCCTGGGAGGGATAGCAAACCACATCTTAAGAGCTTGCCGTAATTATCCTAGTTTATAGGTATGGAGAGAAAAAGAAATTTTTTGAGAAATTGCCTTGCACTTATGTTTTTTCAAGTGGTGTAGCAATCTTCACAGCCATTGCAATTTTTTGAATAAAACTGGTCTGAAATAGTCAGAAGTTAGCACTATGAAGCATTGCTTCTCTAAGTACAGCATGTCAAATCTCCTTAGATGATGGCTTCCTAACTGTGGCTTCTTCAGAAAATTAGAAAAGTTGGGAACTTCACCATATCTTTGTAATGCACTGATGTGTTTGTTATTTAATACTAAGCACAAACAACTGTTCAGTTTCAATAAAATGAAAGCGTGATATGAATAATATGAAAAAGCAAATATCTCCCCACCAAAATGTCATCATGCAGCTAGATGCAGACTGTTGGAACTTTGGCCCCCGGAGATAAGCCTTCTGGGAGAGGCTGCTTTTGCTCTTTAGCACAAACACAAAATGGCCTGCACAGCAGATACAATGAAAGAGAAAGAGAGGAGAGACAGGGAGAGATAGAGGAGAGAGAGAGAGAGAGAAGAGCACCATAGAGAGTGAGAAAAAAGCAAATTTTAAAAAAACTTTTCAGATAATCTACTGTGGTATTCCATCTTAATAACTGGCTCAAGGACTGTTGATGCGTATCCATTATTCAAGACGCTGAGACAGCATTTTCGCCATGTCCTGCTTTGAACCTCAGGAAGAATTCCTTCTCACTAGTTGCAAAGGGGGTTCATTCCTTTTGCATGCATTCTCTACCCCTGTTCAGGGCCCAAGTGCCTCATTCAGTCTCAAGTCTGGCATAATTCCATATTAGTGTTTCAGTGCAGTATAGAATGTCAGCCATATTAATCAAAGAACAGCTACACATTGCAACATCGAGTAAGTTGTCAGGTGGCCATTCACAATGTTTTCTGGTAATCCAGCATGTGAAAACTTTGCAGCTATTAATCATTGAAAGCTTTTGTGTACCTGTTGTAAAGGGCATACATTATAGCGAGAGCATGACCTTAAAATGTTGGTGAATAGGGCGATAGGGTCAGTGTCTAACTGTAATCTTCCGATGGCCCACAGACCTTCAGTGCTGTTAGTGGTGTGGTCCTGGGGGGGTGATTGGTCCTGGAACTCCATGGGCACCTCGGTGGCAGAGCTCCTGTGCCAATCAAACCCATCGCCCTGGGCGAACTCGAACCAGCCACACGAGTCCCGCTCAAAGTCACAGTGTGCGGCTGGGACAGAGAAAGCATGGTAAATTACGTCCAGTACATCAGAGACAGCAGCCTTGCTGAAATGAAATGGCGCAAACATGACCATGAAGAATGAACAGTGAACCCAGCTACAAATTTCTTTTGGGATGAGTGAGCTATTTTCTGTATATCTTTAGGTGTCAAATCCAGTATTATGATAGTAGTTCTTTAAAAATAGTTAAGAAAACAATTGATGAACTGAATTCAGTCAACAATATTCTTTTACAAACTATTATCTATGAAACACAGTTTGAATGACACAATAGAATAATATCTCAAGGAAGTTTTTCAGGTTGTAACTATAATAAACCTACAAAATCTTCTTTTCAGACAAAAACATTACACTATCAATGGCTTTCTACAATTTTAACATTTTAATACCAGAATTGTGTTAAAATGAATAATCTGAGGAATAGTTGGGAGTTAGGGGCTTAATTAAAAAGAAATAGAATAATAATGAATCAGAGGCAGGGTATGCGTGCCTCGGGTCACAAAAGATCCGAGCTATGCATTTAAGCAATAAAGTTTCTTTTTTTGTTTGCTATATGAGCTCAGTCTCATTAATCTTCATTTGCATCAAGTATCTAATCCAGGTATTACTTTCCATGGTCATGGAGGAGCCCATTCCAGCATGTGCAGGGGGAGAGGTAAGAAAACACTCTGGACAGACTACAGATCTATCACTGGGCACACAGCATTACCGCCAGATTCTTCTGTTCATTTTGTAACCGTTGAACTGACCTGTCAAGGCCCTCATGCATCTGTAATTGGTTCCTTCCCTGTTCCAGCAGTCTGCGTGTGTTTTTGCAGTTTTGTCTCCTTTAAATAATGTTGCATTTCCTCCCTTGCTCCTCCCAGGTGTTATCATTTGTATGCCTCACTCCTTTGGCAAATGTCCTGTCTATATAAAGTCATATCGGTGTGGTTGCTGGATTGTCAAGGTTCATATGGTACTAAACCTTCCAGTCAGTTTGAGCCTAGGCTAAGCTGTTCTTCCATGTGTTTTTCGTAAATTAATGGCAAAGAAAAGCATAATTACTCTTTAGAGTCTTATTAATAGGAACAAGCTCCCAAGTTCATGTCGGTCTCCAGGATTGGGGCCGCGTTCTGGTATATTTATTATTACTGCCTGTATTTTCTTTTTTTTGAAGCCTTTATTTATTTAACCTGGGAAATTCCACTGAAAACATGTTTAATCTGTTTCAAGGATACCCAGGGAGAAATTCTACGCAGTTCCAAGCGAGGAGTGATTGAGAGAAACAGGGATAGAGCCCCTGGAGCAATTTTGGGGTTAAGGGCCTTGCTCAGGGCCCAACAGCAGAGTTCTTCCCAACTTCATCTCTCCAGATGAAGTCAGAATCCCAAGGCCCAATGTTCCTTTTATGTTCTTTTAAGCCCCAATGTTCTTTTATTAGGAGCACCTCCCAAGCCTTCAGTTTCCAGGATTGGGACTATATTCAAGCTCAACCCTTTTGTTCATCTGTCCAGCAGTCCTGCCTCTGCAGAAGGGATTCACCACCTGGCTTCTGCCCAGAAACGACCACTGGCATTGGTGTGGACACTCACCTACCCTCTCCAGTAGTTACCAATTTAGCTGGACTGGTCCCTCCTCTGTTCTGGGCCACGGCCTTTCCCTCTACTGTTACCATATTCCTGTTAATAAATGCTCACTTCTGGATTGTACCCTGAGTCTGCATTTAGCTCCTTGTCTGGATCTTAACACTTTTACAAAGCTGTGTTTGGGACAAAGAAGGAAAATCAACAACCAATTGCATGTAATTATGAAGAAAGGTTTTATATACAAGTTGAAAGTATGCTCTGCAATGACCACAACTGAGTTCACACCAATTGGGGGGCAGCATGGTAGTGTAGTGGTAAGCACTGCTACCTCACAGCAAGAAGATTGCGGGTTCGAATCTGGCCTAGGGTCTTTCTGTGTGGAGTTTTCATGTTCTCCCCGTATTCGAGTGGGTTTCCTCCGGACACTCCGCTTTCCTCCCACAGTCCAAAGACATCCACATAAGGCTAATTCCCAAATTTCCTGAAGGTGTGAGTGAATGGTGTGTGAATGATATATGCACCTTGCGATGGATTAGCGAGCTGTCCGGGGTGGGTCCCTGCCTTTCACCAATAGTTAGCTGGGATAGGCTCCAGCTTCCCTGTGACCCAAGTGAGGAAGAAGCAGTATAGAGAATGGATGGATATATCTATCTGAGATCTTAGATGGTAATTGAAGAGTCAGATCTCCTATTCCACGTGTTGGATGTGGGAGAAATGGGAACTGCACAACTTTGACAAGGGCCAAATCATTATGGCCAGACAAGTAGGTTAGAGCATCTCTGAAGAAGCAAGACCTCTGGAGTGCTCCCTGTCAGCAGATGTGAGTACTTACTGACAGTGGTCCAAGGAGGGACAAACCATGAACCAGCCACAGGGTTTTGGGCGCCCAAGACTCATAGATGCACAAGGGCTATGAACGCTATCTTGTCTAGTCCAAACCGACAGAAGGGCAACTGTGGGACAAGTCACCGAGATTTTCAATAATTTTCGCTAAAGGAATGTGTCACAGCTCACAGTGGATCATGCCCTGCTGTGTACTGCACTTTTTAGCTTGCAGACCAGTCAAAGTGCCCACTCTAACTCTGGTACATCTCCGAAAGCGCCCCTAATGGGCACCTGAGCTTCAGAACTGGACTTAAGAACAGTTGAAAACGTTTGTTTGGTTCTGATTCCCATTTTCTTTTACATCATGAGCATCAGTTGAGCACTTGTTCACCATTTAACCAGAGATGGCATCAGGATTCACTGCGGGAGGAAGACAAGCTGGTGGAGGGACTTAAGAACAGTTGAAAACGTTTGTTTGGTTCTGGAGCATCAGTTGAGCACTTGTTCACCATTTAACCAGAGATGGCATCAGGATTCACTGCGGGAGGAAGACAAGCTGGTGGAGGGAGTGTGATACTCTGAGAAATGTTCTGCGAAGAAACCCTGGGCTTGGGTATTCAAGTGACATCAGTTTGGTGGAGCTGTTTTGGCAGCACAAGGGGGATCCTCACTATATGAGGCAGGTGGTTTAAATCTTATGGCTCATCGGTGTATTTACGATTTGGTCTAGACGTATTTGGACTGTAGCATAATTTGCATTATTTTGCATACAACCACGATGGATTTGAAATGAATCAATCAAGATTTGATTGAAGTGTTGATTTTCAGCCTTTATTCATGGGATTTCACAAAAATCTTGCATAAACTATTCAGGAATTATAGTCATTTGTACACACAGTCCTCTGTTTTCAGAGGCTCAGTAGTCATTAAACAAACTAACATTATATTGCATATAAGAATTATTTTAATACTTGGGTGAAAATCCTTTGCAGTCAATGACTGGAACCTATGGACATCACCAAATGCTGAGTTTATGCCCTTGAGATGCTTTGCCAGGCCTTTACTGCAGCTTCCTTCAGTTGCTGCTTGTTTGTTGGTCTTTATGCCCAGAGTTTTGTCTTCATTAAGTGAAAAGTAGCTCAGGTGACTGACTTGGCTATTCAAAAATATTGAATATCTTTGCCTTGTCTCGCTTTTGCTGAATGTTTTGGCACTATTCCATCAGCTTTGCCGCATTTGGTAGAATCTGAGCAGATAGTATGGGTCTGTACACTTCAGAAGAAATCTTACTACCTCTATAAGCAGTCAGATCGTCAATGAACACCAATGACCCAGTTCCATTTGGAAGCAATACATTCCCATGCCATAATACTGCCTCCACCTTGCCCGACAGATGATGCATTATGCTTTAAATCATGAGTCATTCCTTTCCTCCACCATACCTTTTCTCTTCCCATCATTGTGGTACAAGTTTTTCTTCATTTCATCTGTCCAAAGAATCTTGTTCCAGAGCTGTTCAGGCTTTTTTACATGTTTTCTGGCAAAGGCTAAATTGGCCATTCTGTTCTTCAGTGTTATGACTGGTTTGCACCTTATGGTAAACCCTCTGTATTTACATTCACAAAGTTGTCTCAAACTGTAGACTAAGACCATGATACCCCACGTCATTTAGAGTGTTCTTGACCTGGCTCGATGATGTGAAGGGGTTTTTCTACAGCAAGGAAACAATTCTGTGTTCATCTACTTTAGTTGTCTGGTGGTCTTCTAGTCCTTTTGGTGTTGCTGAGCTTGCCAGTGCATTCCTTTTTTTTTTAGGAATGTATCAAATTGTTGATTAAACCTCTCCTAAAGTTTCTGCTATCCATCTGATAGTGTTTTTTTTTTTCAGGCGAATGATGGCCTCCTTCACCTGCACTGACAATCAATTCTTTGGACCGCATATTAAAAGTTCCCATGAAAAGCTACCGCATGCCAGTTCACTTGGACCAAGCTCCAGACCTTTTATCTGCTTCATTTGTGATGAAATAATAAGCGAACAGGCCACAGCTGGTCATGAAACTGACTGACAGTCATGTCCAATTACCTTTGAGCCCCTGAAAATGGAGCTGTATGTCTTAAAATGGCTGTAATTCCTAAACAGTTAATGCAAGTTATTTGTGAAACCCCTTAAATTAAGGCTGAAAGTCTCCAGTTAATATATCATCTTCATAGCTTTGTTTCGAGTCTATTGTGATGGTGTGCAGAGACAAATTTTCCAAAATTGCATCACTATCCAAATGCATGTGGATCTAAGTGTATATGAGTAATGCTGCATGAACTTGGAGGTAATGTCTCCATATAGTCTTCAGGTTTGCTCTTTCCTGCTAAATGGTTACAGAAGGGAGCAGCTGTTTGGGCTTTAATGCTGTTGAAGTCTTTATTCCTGAATTACTGATGTACTGGATAATAATTTTAATTTATCGCACTACTAGGTTCCGTAATGGGTTACTCCCCTCCTGATAAAGTCTCCCTCATTTAGGTGGGTAACAGATAATGAACCATACACAGCTCTGTGTCAGTCAGCAAATTAGTAAAGTTTGAATGCTCAATTATCGGCCAGCTTAGATCAAGGGTGTTAAAACCTTCTAAAACTGGAACTCTTTAAGATTTAAAGAGTAAACACTTAATTGAAATGTGTGTATGATAGTCTAATTAATCTGCCTGAACTCACAAAATAGGCACATCAATTTCAGCCAAAGTTGATTAACCTGAGACAACAATGCCCATCCAACTGTCAAAAATGTGCTTTTTCCAAAATATGGTTGACACAGCCAGAATTCCATGAACATTATCATAAAAGGTTATTCAAAGACATGCATGGCAGTGCATGAGATTATATGTTTGTCACAGAAATGTGCTGGAAAACCAAACAAAAACATCTGATTATGCAACTGCGGCCTGCTGAGGCACTCTCTCGCTGTATACTCACGACAGTCTGCCTCATCTTCTCCAGTCGAGCAGTGCGGGGTGAAGTCACACACTTTGTTCCCGTCAATGCACTCTCCATTTCCACAGAAGAAATACAGGGGCGGGCACTGAGATGGAGGGGGCGTCACACTCATATTTGCTGAAAAAAATATGTACATATTTCTTTTTTTTTTTTTTTCTCAAGGTAAGTATTCTATGCAATGTATCTTCTAGGGTTATTAAACATACGGTGTTATGTGAAAGGTCTAGGGCAGTCACAGTTTGTGCTTTTTGGCTCAGACTTCTGCTATTAGAACTGGTGAATACATTCATGAGGTTACCGTTCAGTAGTGTCTGCTTTAATGCACAGGTATTTGCATCCATTTTGTGTGAAGAATGTAGGAATCTCAGCCTTTTTCACAGAGTGTTCCTGTTAAAATAATTATGAACTGCAGTGAAAGTTTAAGCTTCTGCAGTGCCATTGGTATATCTCTGCATAATATTCTAATGAGCCAGGTAATAAGGTTAGACAGGAGCAGAGTCTAAGGCACAGAGTCTCCTCTGTTCATAAAAACTCCAGGCCTGAGGGAAATAGCGCCAACCCACTTTATATAAACTGGGCATTGAAGCTCACAGATCTGCAACAAAGCTAGACTCAGTGTTTGGATATCTATTTAATAAAAGGAAGCTGCACTGTGCCTGAGATTTAACTCCACCTGTACCTTCTGCCATGTCTAATAAAAGATAATTCTGTTGGACGGGACACGGTCCCTTAGAACAAGCAATGATTTTACCTCAACAGAGCCCTTCTACTATCGTTATTGATTTATTTTCATATTAAACTACAGTTGTTCTAGACATTCTGGCTCCGTGCTGTCAAAGGTTACCGTTGATGCATTTTTGATCACTGCACTGACAACGGTCCTGTGTAACAAAGTGCCATTGAGGATGCAGTGTGGTCAGAACACACAAAGAATCCATTGAGAAATTACATTATGAATTCATCACTGTGTTCTATGGGAGGCAGACAACTACCAATAAAGCAATAACTATGCTGGACCAGCTCATGCAAACATACGCATTCATCAATTTAAAAATCAGGGAGGACTGGCTTTGCACAGTATCACACTCTTCATCAGGGACATGCAGTGTAAAGTGCTGACATGTATCATGAAGTCAGAATAATTTCAGCTAATGTTCTGAAAGAGAAATTGTGCCTTCTTGAAGCAGCTTTAACATGCCGCATTCATAACATACTCATATAAACAAAGACATCGTCTAACAAAGTGACATACTATGGTCTGGTCAGTGTTCTTCACTCCTTCCCGTTCTTGGCTCAGATATCTATACAGATTATGGAGACATGAATTCAGTTCTCAGCGATAGTTCAGACATACCTTCCACGATTCTCCAGCTGGCTCTCTTCCTAAAATCTAGACTCCCATCATCCTTGGTGATAGAGACGTTCTTGTTCAGCCTGTGAATGTAGTGGCCTGGCACAGTGACCGCTTCGAGAGCTGTGGAGCCCACCAGCCATTTGTCTTTGTGCAGCCAAAAAGAAGCTTTCGCCGAGCACGTCCCATTCACTGGAATCTCCTC